TAATAGAAAATTCTAATTAAAATTCTAAAAAGAAATTCTACAGAAATTCTATTATATACTACCACCTTTTATTATTATTATTATTTTTTTTATCAATTAAGAGAGAGAAAAAAATTAAAATAGAAGAAAAACTAGAATAAAAAAAGTTAGCAAAGTCAAGGGGTGTGAATTTGGCACAGGGAGTATGGTCAGCAGTGCAGCCCGGGCGCAAGGCCCACCCAGATTGAGCCCAAAAGGATTTTTTGTTTGCATTCAACTAAGCCTTAATTCCTACGATACAGGGAATTTGCAGCAAGAGGCCCAAAGCATGAATGTAGTTTGGTCCAGCCACCTAATCCCAACATAATATTTCCAATTAGCATTTGATTTATATTGAGTTAAACAAATAAAAAAAAAGTTAAACAAAATTATGCAGCGTATGGAGAGGGATTAGGGTTGTAATGGTGTCCCTTCACATCTTCGTCAAACAAAGTTTCTCTTCTTTCTCACAAACCAAACGGCGGCGCTTTCTCCCCCTGTCTCATCTCTGTTCTCACGCAGCGGAGGCCTTGCCTTTAACCATCATCAGCTTCATCCAAACTCCCTTAGCATCTTCGCTGTCTCGAAACCGCCTTCACTCCTCATCTTTCGTTCGCCTCTGATCGAATACCACCGCTCGAATCCGTTCACCCACCGCGGTTTATTTCATCTTCGAAGCTAGGCTCGCTCTATCTTCATCATTCTGCTGCCTTCCTTCATCTCACTGCGACGACGCTTAGACTAGATCAAACCACCATACTTCCTTCGTGAACCCTGTTTATCTTTCAACCCCGATCACCAATACCACGCCCATTTTATCTGCAAATTACTCATATGTCCAGATCGCTAATTTGGGGATTCGAAGCACTAAATTGGATGTCGCAAATTACGGCCACTGCTCAGTACTTCGCGGAGAATAGGCATGCCATCAACTATAAACAACTAAGAACGGAAAGATGCGTGAGGTGATCAAGAAAACTGAACCTAGTTGAGACTTCTGCTACTCCAGTACGGTGGAGAGAATCTCAGGTGAGTCTTTTGTTCACTCTTTATTTGATTATGCTTTTTCTTTCTCGCGTTTACCCGTCTGCAACTCCTCTATCTTCTTCTTTGAAATCTCCATGTATTCGTTATTATAGACTGAAGAAGTTGTTGATGCAGATATTGCAGCGGTGATGATGATGTGCGGTTACGAATGAAGATGAAGATTCTCTGTGAATTTTTGCGAATGATGGCGATCTCAGAGAGAGAAGAGTCAAATTTTGTGGTTTTCTTAGTGAATGATTGGTTATGGAGAGAGAGCAGAGGTAAGATAAAGGCGATGAATCTGAGAGAAGAAAAAATGGTGAAGGTTGTTGAGAAGGTTGAAGATGAATGTGAGAAGGTTCTTGCAGAGAAGAAGTTCAAAAAGAGAGTCGTCCATTTTTCTAGTGAGTTCTCTCTTCCAATTCTGTTTGAAAACTGTTATCCCTTTTTCCTCTGACTTTTTTTGATGAATAATCGTGAATTCCCTCTCTCTCTTTTCTTATATCTGTTCTCTTATGCTGGAAGTTTGTTAGAGAGTTTGTTAGCTGTTAGTTATGGACTGTTAGTTTTGGTTGGTTAATAAGGAAATCAGTTAGCAGTTAGTTTCAGTTACAGTTGGTTTTTTGGTTAGTTAAGAAATTCTGTTATAAACTCCTTTTTTATGTGCAGGGCTGTTATGGACAGTTGGGATTCAGTTTTGAAAACAGTTAGGAGGTTCAGAAATTGTTAAATGGTTGTTTGGATGGTTTTGATTTAATGATTGTTTCTGTATCGATTTACGCGGGTAGGCTGATTTATGCAGGTAGGCAGGAGGTACAACAAGGTAGCGTATTTGTGGTGGCATAAGTGTATTGTTTTAGAGTAAATCAAATTGGACAGCAACACAGCGAGGCGTAACAGCATAGGCAAGTTTTGGTTATGTTTGGATGCAGTCCCTGTAGCATGGTTCATATTTTTGTGAATGGAAAACCTTACATGGTTTTGTATTGTTTGCTTTGTGTAGGTCAACATGTGAAGGTGTAGCATGATATTTGAATGCAAGGCAGTTGACGAAGCAAGGAGTTTAGACACAAAGGCTAATGAAGATGAAAGCAAAGCTTTGGCCATGGAGTTGATGAAGGTGAAAGCGAAAACATGGTTGAAGCTTAAAGTTAGGTGAAGATTGTAACATAGAACCTTTGGCCATAAATAATGGAGCATGAATATTAGATAAAGGTTGAAAATGGAATCACTAGGCTTAGGATGAGCGCTAAGGTTTAGGAATGGCTCTCATATTATTTTTGATGTAAAGGTCATGTAACATAGAAATATTTAGTTGTAATTGTCTTTATGGAATGAACACGGTTTGGATATCATTGATGAACCTTGTTTAAATTGGTCTGATGCTTGAGTGAGATCAAATGTACGATGATATATTCAAACACAACATGATAACGCTTGGGTGAATTGAACTTGAATTTTTATGAATGATTTGGATCCTGAATGAGTTCGAAATTGATGATGAAAGGTATAGAATTCTTGGAATATGGACTTGAAAAATGCTTTACAATTTAAATTTTACACTTTACTTGTTGCTTGTATTTCAAGCAAACCACATGACTGAACCTTCCAAATTTAGCATGAGCCAAATCCAAACTTATGTCCTTGAATAGGTTGAATTCATGGAATCACTTGAATGAATGAATTAACACATCTAAATTCCATGCATAAGAACCTTAATCCTTTTGAGATGTACCTTGGTGACTGAATGATACCGAGATATTGATAAGAAACCAAGCTTTAACTCAAAATATCTTTATCTGAATCCCTGATGAAACCCTAGCATTCACGATCTTAACACATTTAGTTCTTGAAGTAACTTCGATACAAACGACTGTATCCCCTGATGAACTTGGGGGAAGATACCCTTATAGCCTGATAAGAAATAAGTCCACAACAACCACGAATCAAAATCCTATCTCCAACCATGAATATTGAAGAAGCAACTTGAATCTCTTGAATGAAGATAAGAGCCTCAAAGCCATACAGGAACCCTAATTTTCAAGATCTTTGATCACGTGCCAAAAATGTTGTTAGCGAATGTATGCAATGTTAAATGACCTGATAGAGTTATGTACATGAGAAAAGCGCGACAATGCATAAACCTGATAAAAGTAGGAGGGTAGGACAAATTTGGGGTATTACACCAACACAATATTTTCATATCTGCTACACTTACTTTATTCTTGTAACACTCTATTTCTCCAACGCAAAATTATAAATAAATTAGAGATTTTTCACAACATTTTCACATAGGATGTTACACATCCCGAAACGCACACACATGCTGATCATGTAACACTTGATGTAAATAAACATGCAACATAATATATTAATGCACACAATTGCACTTAAGATTTTTACACGGCATCCAACTCATATGATCTATACTTGGAATGTTTAGAGGACATCTAACGTATCTAATCTCATGGCAGCGAAATCATAATTAAAATACACACCAATTTACACCACATAATAAAATTTCATACTAAAATTAAAAGCATCGACTCGTAAGTCTCCAAAGGCTTATCACACCAAAACATAAACATACGAGAGCATACATTGTCTCTCAGAAAGTCTCAACATAAAATAAGAAATCGCTCCCCCAGTGTTACATATCAGAGCATAACCCAAAACTAAGACAAAGAACTAAAAGAAATTGATATAGGAGTTAGCTTCCACTCACAGTAGCGTCTATACTCTTGAGTACCTTCACGATGTCCGTGTAAAGACAACATCCAAACAGAAGGGATGATAAATCACATTCAATAATAACAGACATACACTGCAAGGTAAGATATTAACACATAACATAATCTACACAATCTCAAATTGTAGTATAACAATTGTTGCATTCTCATACCCTACACATCAATCAATCACAACTCAATAAATATACATATAAATCGTTATGCAACTCTATGCATATGCATGTGGTACCAACTCAACATTTGATTCTCTCCTGAATCGGATACCTTCTTTTGAACTCATGAGCCCCCTCTCTGAACTCCAAACCCCCTCTCTGAACTTGGGAAAAACCACTAGTCCCCTCTCTAAACTAGCCCTTAACACCAAGGCATACCAACACTACTCTAAAACATATCAGAGTTACTCAAATAGTAATTCTACTTAATCTTATCAACATAACTCTAAAACTTATATGAGTTGATCAAAGACAACTCTAAAACATATCAAATTATCAATTACACTCTCACAACTCTAAACAACTCAAAACTACTCAATAACAACTCTACATTCATTAATTAGCTCCAAAAACATGCTTCCTACTAATCACACATCATATTTGAATAATTATTTAAAATATCAAACTGAGTCGGAATGAAGCAAATGGATATATTCCGAAAATCTTAGAGAGTCTATTTTAAAAATATGATTTTTATTTCAATACTTAATACGCCAATTAGTTCAATTTAATTTCCTTCTTTATATACTAATGATATTTAAATAATTTTATAATTTATTAATGGATAAGGATATTCGTGGACATACATCGTTAAACCCATATTCGTATTCATTTAAAAATAGATATTTAAATATCCATTTATTTTATCCGTAAATATCTATTAAACTAATTGTTTCGTATCCGTATCCGTATCCGTGATGATTTTGTCCACGAGTATGGACATTTTTGTCTAGGTACCACATGTGAAAACTGATATAGAAAGTTTGAGTAAGCTTGGTGGCTCCTGGCTAGAAGTTAATGTTGTTGTATTATATTGACAAATATGAAACTTTGTTTGACTTTTAATAAGTTTGTTTTGACCCTTTAATCAAACCACGTTATGAATGTCAAAGAATTTTATTATAGCACCAAGTCTTGAAGATTTTCTCTTTATAGGTAAAAAGTGTTCCAACTTATAATATTTTTAACAAAATCCTTAAACAAAATTCATTGAATGGAAAACTTCAAAGTGTTAGTTTATTGTTTTCTTCTCTTCCACTTCATACCAACCTTCAATACCTTGGAAACCATTCTTCCAGGACATTCAATCAAAGGTAATGAGACTCTAATCTCAACAAATGGAACCTTTGAAGCAGGTTTCTTCAATTTTGATAATTCAAATAACCAATATTTTGGTATATGGTACAAGGAGATTTCACCAAGAACTGTTGTGTGGATAGCAAATAGAGATTCTGCAGTAGAAAACTCATCAGGAGTTTTGAATCTTACTGATAAAGGAACTCTTGTTATCGTTGATTCCCAAGGTGTTATGAAATGGTCCTCTAATACATCAACAACAGCTGCAAAACCAATTCTGCAACTCTTGGAAAATGGAAACCTTGTTGTGAAAAATGAAACCAACCCAGATAGTATTTTGTGGCAAAGTTTTGATTTTCCTGGTGACACTTTACTCCCTGGTATGAGAATTCGAAGCAGTTTGGTAAATGGCGATTATAAAGGTTTGGTTTCATGGAGAGACTCGCAAGATCCTTCAACTGGTTTGTATTCATATCATATAGATACTAATGGTTTTCCTCAAGTAGTGACTACTAAAGGTAACACATTATTTGTTCGAGTTGGTTCATGGAACGGAAATAGTTTATCAGGAGCTACTTCGGTGGATCTTTACAAATCCTTTAATATCACTTTTGTTATTACTGAGAAGGAAGTTTCTTATGGATATGAACTTCTGGACAACTCAACTGTTTCATGGTACAAGATCAATTCTTTGGGGCAAATAACACGTTTTTCACTGTCTGATGATAGAAAAACTTGGCAAATTTTCTTCGTTGGCCCAGCGGATCGGTGTGACAATTATGGTTTCTGTGGTGCGAATTCTAAGTGCGATCCTGATAAATCACCTGTGTGTGAATGTCTTGATGGTTTCATTCCGAAATCTAAAGAAAAATGGAGTTCACAAAATTGGACCGATGGTTGTGTTAGGAGAGTGAAGTTAGATTGTGATGATAATAATAGTGATGGCTTTTTGAATCAAGTCGGGATGAAGCTGCCAGATACATCAAAATCTTGGTTTAACAAGAGCATAAACCTTGAAGAATGTGAGAGATTCTGTTTAAGAAACTGTTCTTGCACAGGATATGCAAATTTAGATATCAGAGATGGTGGAAGTGGTTGCTTGATTTGGTTTAATGACATTTTGGATGTCAAAAAACTAAGCAATGGAGGACAAGATTTTTACATGAGAGTTGCAGCTTCAGAACTAGGTGCTAATACTTTCTTTTCATCTACTCTCCTTCATCTTTCTGGACATATACTTTGATAAAACTGTAGCATTTTAGCGGCTATGACATGACATGTAAAAATCATGAATTTCATGTCAATTGCAATGCTGCATTTCGGAACTTAAGATTTCTAAACTTCTCAACATTTTGGTGTTAACTAACAGTGCTTTTTACCTTATATCAGACCATAACACAGGCTTGAACAAGAAAAAGCTTGCAGGAATTTTAGTAGGCTGTATAATGTTTATTGTAATCATGATAATACTTGGAATCGTCATACATCGAGTTCGGAGGAAGAAACTAGAGAAGTCAGGTAACCGTTTTAGTTTTTTAAACTGCTTTATATTGTTCAATAATTATAACTATGCAGTCAGATATAATTGTAAGGTTATATTAGCTAGCCAATGGATTATCAATCATTATTTTATATATACTTTCAGGGATGAATCAAGTAGTTAGCTTGAAGAATCAAATTGACAAAAAAGAGAATGAAGACATTGACATACCAATATATGATTTATCAACAATAGTTAATGCAACCAATAACTTCTCCATTGATAACAAATTGGGGCAGGGAGGTTTTGGACCAGTTTACAAGGTATAACAGAGCTTTTTGATTAGTCAAGAACTAAATATGAAAAACATTTATAAGGTTCTCTAAATTTTAAAAAAAATGATTATTAGGGTAAATTGGAAAATGGACAAGATATAGCTGTGAAGAGACTTAGCAATACTTCAGAACAAGGACCAAAGGAGTTCATAAATGAAGTTAAGCTAATTGCCAATCTTCAGCATAGAAATCTTGTGAAGCTGCTTGGCTGTTGCATTCAAAATCATGAGAAACTCTTGATCTATGAATTCATGATCAACAGAAGCTTGGACTACTTCATTTTCGGTTCGCGATTTTATCTTATAAATAACTTGTTTTGATTTTCTCTTGATTAGTCAATTTCAACAAGTTGTCTTCTTCTAACTAAGCTGGAAACTTTTTATCAGACCAAACTAGAAAAAGTTTACTGCATTGGACTCGACGTTTTCAAATTATCCGTGGGATTGCTCGAGGACTCGTTTATCTTCATGAAGATTCTAGGCTAAGGATTATCCACCGAGATCTCAAGACAAGCAATATTCTTCTTGACGAAAATATGAATCCTAAAATATCAGATTTTGGTCTTGCTAGAACATTATGGGGAGACGAAGCGAAAGGCGAAACAAGAAGAGTAGTAGGAACTCAGTAAGCATGCTAAACTGAATTGAATTTGTTGCTTTATACAATATAAATACCTAATCCACATTTATTTTCTTTCTCTATTATATGTTTCAGTGGTTACATATCTCCAGAGTATGCAACACGCGGATTTTTTTCAGTGAAGTCTGATGTCTTCAGTTTTGGTGTTATCATACTAGAGACAATCAGTGGAAAAAAGAATAGAGAATATAGTGGCTATCATGATCTCGATCTTCTTGGACATGTAAGTTTAAGGGTTTAGTCCAAATATATAGACATTTTCTAAAACAATAATTAAAAAGTAAACTGAAAACTCACAATCTTGATTTTGAGTCATGTAGGCATGGAGAATGTGGTGTGAAAAAACGCCGTTGGAACTGATAGATAAACCTCTAACCGATTCGATTGTTGTAGCAGAACCAGAAATATTGAGATGTGTTCAGATAGGGCTATTATGTGTTCAAGAGAGAGCTGATGATAGGCCAACAATGTCAGCTGCAATTCTAATGCTGAATGGTGAGAAAACATTGCCTGAGCCAAAGGAACCGGCCTTTTATCCACACCAATCTGGTTCTTCATCAGGAACTGCTGTGCTGCATTCAAAAAATGAAGTTTCCATAACATTGTTACAAGCAAGATAGTATACATGAAAAATGCATTATATGTCTCTCTCCAAATTAACTTAATGTATAGGAATAAATACATTTTTTGTATTTATAGTGAATATCAAATATTAGTATAGTTTTCTTTTCTTAAGGGCAATTTTGGTTCGGTTATTATTATTTATTTATTTATTTTAGTTCTCCTATTTTTGAAATTTAGAATTTTAATCTCTTTATTTTAGTTTTTTTTTGAGGTTTGTAGTCTTTCACAAATTTCAAAAACATGAAACTCATATTGAAGGATCTTCAAGTGTGCATGGCTGTAGCGGTGAAAATCGAAGATCAAACTATTAATTTACTTGATTCGCAAATAGTAAGAATCGTCACCGTGCTTTATTATTTCCGAGGAAAGGAGAAAATAGTGAAATAAAACCTATAAGTAAATATGCAATGCAAGAAGTAAAAGCAAGTGCAATAGAGATATCTAAAGTTCGGGAGTTGATTATACAAAGGAAGGGTGTTCGCACTCAATGCAACTGTAGTACTCTACAGAAACCTCTTATTATATCCGTGTATTAAAATTAATTGTTTGCTAAAATATTAGTTTAAAGGTATTTTTTGAAAATGCAACAACTTAATGTCGAGGTTTTGACTTAAAAGAGTGTAAGTTTAAAAAATGAGATTTATAGAGATCTAGCTTAAAATTAGCAAAACTTAAAGATGGATGAAGGAATTTGCACAATCATATAAGATACACTCGATGACATGAAGTTAACGAATTAATCTTTTCCTTTGGATTCAAACACAAAGATAATAATCAGATGAAGACTGAATAAGAACCATGCATCCGATAAAAATGGATAGTAACCATAATTCAAAGATTAAATAACCAATTTTAGGTTTTTTTTATTAAGTGGCTTAAAACAAGCAAAAAAAGAAGGAAGCTCAAGCGAGCAAAGAAAAGATAAATGCTCAAGTGAGCAAAGAAAAAATACATAAAGTAAATAAAATAAAATGATATGGATGATAAATGACATAAAAGTAAAGAGAGGAAAATATAAAGTGTGAAAATATAAATGACATTAAAGTAAAGTTGGTACAATATAAAGTTAATAATCTGATTTGAGATAAGTGTAACTCCATATGGAACATACAATGTATGTATCCATACATGTTAGAGAAATGATATTTTGAAGTTCATTCTCTTATATATGTTGTACAATTAACAAATATGTCGGATTAAGACAAAGTCAAAGAAGATACATTATGACAAACTTATCATCAATCTCAAATATCTTGAATGATTAAATGACCATTTAGAAGTAGATTGAAAATGATGAAAGTTCATCGAATATTCGACAAGCTTAGATGAACTAAAAAAAAGCTCAAATGCTTTCCAATTTAATCCAAATAAAAATAAAAATAAAATAGATAAAGAAGAATAAGATGAAGTCTATAATAAAAATAGTATAAAATGTCATAATTTTCTCAACTTTTCATGAAATTAAACAAATGAATAATAAAAATTTATCTACTCAATCTCACGACCAATAATCCATGCTCAAAGTAAATAAATAAATAACAAAAAAGTTACAGAAAAAAATGAAAATTAAACAACAATAAATCACTTTTGCTTTTGGAGGTTCAAGAACACTTTTGAATCAATGGAGTTTCCTTCCAAATTGGTGATAATTATGGTACTAAATAAATAAATAAAGAGTAAAAGTGCAATAGAATTAAATAAATAACAATTATAATAATCTACCTATTCAATAAAATGAAGAAATGACATGAAAGAAAATGAAGAGAGAAAAATAAGAGAGTTTTGGCTTAGTTTAGTGAGCGATTTTATGGTATTGTTGGTCCCAAATGAAAGAAAGAGATGTCTATTTATATGGTGAATGAGGTGAGAGTATTGATAAGGAAATCCATGTGACTTTATGAGAATGTTTATTGGCTATTGATAAGTCCAAGTTGACAATCCATGTGAAGTGTGAGAATGATTCTTGAACATTAATAAGTATAAGTTGATAATCTATGTGAAGTGCTTGTACTACATTATAGTGATCCAAACTTTTCTTTATTGACAAGAAAAAAAGGAGAAAGTAATAATAATAATAATAATAATAATAATAACAATAATAATAATAATAATAATAATAGTAATAATAATAATAAAAATAAAAACTAAAAGTGTTAGTAATAATAATAAATACAAAATAAAAAATAAAATAGACATTAAGTTAACTATTCTTGAATTAAAATAAATAAAAATAAAAGTGTAAATTAAAAGATAAAAAATAAAATTCATATAAGAAAGTAAAAGGACTTATATAAATTTTTCTAGATTTTTTTTAAAATAAATGATATCAATATATAAATTTAAATTAATAAAAGAACATATTTTTGATAATTTTTTAGTAAAGAAGTAAAAATAGTAAATAAAAAAAAACATGATGCTAAGTACATTTGTGGTTTTTTTAAATGGAAAAGAAATCATGAATAAAACACAATAAAAATCAAATTTCACTAAATTCATAAACGACTTCTAATGTTTCTATTTTTTTGTGGTTTTTAAAGCATAATCAGCTCTTGACTTGTAAAGAAAAATTGTAGATAACGTCTGTAACACCCGCTAATTTGATTAATTATTTAATTAAATTATATTTTGGATTATTTGTGATGTTGCGAGGTGTTAAGAATTATTGATAAAAGTTGTTGGATTATTAATAATTAATTAATTAGTTGATTAATAATAATTCTCGTGTTGGGATTAATGAAATATTATAGTATTAATTTATTAGAAATAAGAATATAATTAGTTGGGCTTAATTATATGGTAGTATGAATTAAGAGTGGGGGGTAACATTTAAGCCCAATTGGATTTAGTTGGACTAATAGAATAATATTATATTATTATTAGAAAATTAGAGGAGAAAGAGAGTATAGTGTTATCAGGAAAAGAAAAAGAAGAGAAAGAGGAATAGGGTTTTGAGAGGAGAAGAAGAACAAGAGGAAGTTGCTACTAGTGCCAAATTCCCAGAAATTCTATTGAAGTTTCTTAGAGCTGCATTCAATTCAAGGTAAGGGTGAGATTCTTGCTCTATAGTTGGGTATATGATAAATGATATGTGGGGTTGGTTATATGAAATTATCGTGTGTGATTTTATGTGAAAGGTTGTTATTTTGTTGCTACGGCAATGTTGTGTTTCCTGATAAAGTTGCAGAAATTCAATTGATGACTCTGTGGTTGGAGAATTATTTTATGTTGATGTTGGTGTATTTGTGGTAATTGATGTATGTTGATAGCAATGATAACTGGATGTTTGATTGTGTATTATTTCATGAAGTTTGTGTCTTTGGAATTGAAACAAATGGGTTTTTGTACTGCACTTTACATAATTTGTAAAACTGTTTTTTCATAGGGTGCAATCGATTGCAGCAGAAGAGCAATCGATTGCACTGCTTAAAAATTGAGATTTTTGCTTCTGTTTCAGTAAGAAATCGATTGCAGTAGAAGAGCAATCTATTGCACTGCTTAAAAACGTGATTTTTGGCCTCTGGAACAAGGTGCAATCGATTTGCATGTTAGTGCAATCGATTGCTCACTGTTTGACAGTATTTTTGAAAAATTGAAAACTCCATAACTTTTGAACTGTAACTCCGTTTGATGCGCCGTTTGAAGTGTTGGAAAGCTAATGCGATGAACTATATTTATAAGGAGTAAAATGAAGGATAATTCTAGTACCCGAGTTAGTATAGAGTTAGCTTTCCCGCATTAAATCGCCATGATGTTTTGTGGTGATGAAGTATGATGATGACATGATGATCTTATGATAATGCTTGGTTCATAATAATAATATCAATAAAAATGATGTTGTAGTATTATAGTATAACAATTTGTAGAAGTTTGTAATTAGAAATAAGCATTTAGATAAGTAATTAACCGGTATAGTTGAGAATTGTCCGAATAATTATGGGCAATATTATGTTGTAGGCCTATGGCCAATGTCGAATGGTTGTTGAGATGTTGTTGTGATATTGTTGTTGTGACGTACTAAGTTGTAGGCGTATTCAAACTTTGTGTTAATTGTCGTTGTTGAAATATCAAGTTGTAGGTTTATGGCCAAAGTTGAATTATATTGAGTTGTTGTGTTGTTGTGATTTTCGTTGTGAATTCTTGTTGATAATGTGAAGTTGCAGAGAATTTTAGATGATGACGAATTACCTCTATTTATTGGTAACAATGGTAATGTAGGCTTATGCCTTGCTATGAATAATGAATTGTTGTTAATTACGCTGATGATGTTGTAGGCCTATGGCCAGTGAAGTAGTGATATAGGCGTATGCCTCGTGAAGTGTTTAATGATGTTGTTGCATGTGTTGTACATTCATATATTTGCATTTGTGAAGGCATGTATTGGAGAATTTTGTGAAGGCATGTATTGGCAGATTTTGTGAAGGCCTGTGTTGGCGGATTTTGTGAAGGCATGTATTGGCAAAATGATTTGTGAAGAAGGCTTATGCCTTGTGCCTCAAGATTACTGGCAAATGTTTTAAGTTAGGAGTTCTGTCCAATAGTACCACATGCATGTGCATTGTAATTGAGTCGCATTTGATGTTGTATCTTGAGTCATGGTGAAGATAGATTTATTGTTGCTTTATGTTGTTGACTTGTTGTGACAAGTATCATCTAAAGGTTGTGAATTAGTTGTTATGTCATCTTTATGTTTTGTTGAGATTAAAGATGTTTGAAAGTTATGAAGTGGTGATTTTATATGAACTGATTCTGATATATTAATTGTCATTAATTCAATTATATAGTTCGATATCTCACCCCTTCTGTTTGAATGTTGCCCTCTGTTGGTAACGTGCAGGTAATCAAGAAGAATAGTTGTTACCCTCGTCAGTATCGAGTCGGTGTCATCGCTCTGATACGTAGCACTCGGGGGGGGGGGGGGGGGGGGGGTGAACGCTTGATGTTTAGTTGTTGATTATTATTTCTGTTGCTGAATATTTAAGTTGTTTACATGAAGTAA